GGAATGCTGCCATATGAGAAACGCCTTACGCAGGCGCCTGGGCTGTTTTACATGCCGTTCCCTGCTCCTTTGGAGCCGAGACGGCTGCGTCACTGCTGCCCGAGCCCCCACGGCGTGAACGCTGGCGGGGGGGAGGTGGACAAACCGTGCCATTAATATTTAAACCCGGCACAAATCCCGTTGTTTGCTCTTCAGTGTTTATCCAGCTCCCCGGTGTAATTGGGCAGCCCGTTATCCGCACGTGTGGGAATCCGCTATTGCCGCGCTCTCCCTGCATCTTTTATGGGAGAGCGGAGCGCATTTACAAGCAAATTTGGGTTTTGTTTGGAGGCGCGGGAGGCGCGTTGCTAATTTGGCTGCGGCCCGAACCCCAACGTGCGAAGCGCTCAATGTGTTGCGTGGGAGGAGGAGGTTTTATTTAGCTGTGTGCTGCTTTCCTCGCCGCTCGGGCTTTCCGTCGCTACCGCTACGTGTGAGCAGCGAGGAGAGCCCTGGGAACCCCGAAAAAGCGCAGCCGCTTCTTGCATCTTCCTCACTTCTCCACCTCAATCCATCCCAGCTGCCTCCTTAGGGACCAATATGGGCTGAGCATCACCCCGGGCATCGGTCTCCATAGGTGACCCTATAGAGGCAGCTGAGGTGGCCTGGCTGGTCTGGATCGCTGGGAGCAGAGGGCAGGGTGGTGTGGAGGGGGATATTGAGAGCGGGAACGTCTTGGGTACCTCGGTGGGGCCGGATAAGCACTCGTGGCAGACAGATTAGTCATCGGTTCCTGATAGGGGATAATCGCTGGCTTGTCTGCTCTTTATCTGCGAGATAAGGACGGGCTGGGGGAGGGAAGGAGAAGGCACAGCAAGGCTGAGGTGGCCGGGATGGACCATCCCTGGTGCAATGGTCCCTTATGGTGGGGGGAGCGGGGTCAGGGCACGCGTGGGGCCGTGGTTTCCTTTCTGCTGCCTCAGCTCCCGTCCCAATGACATGGTCCTGTCGGCTGTGAGTTATTCTGCAGAGGGAGCAGCGTCTTCCTCGCCCTTCAGCACGGTGCAGGCTGGAGCTGGAGGCGCCTTCAGGCAGCGGCTGTTAGCAGGAATTAAAGGAATTCTGTAAAGGACATTAAATACAAATTGCTGTATCTTATCGGGTCAGGAGCATTCTCAGCCATTGCTGGAGGAGCAGAACCCCTGGGGTTGATGTCCTCTTGCATACAAGGCAAGAAGAGACAGTCTCCCTGCTGCGTGGGCATCCTGGAGCTTGGTTTTCATGAATTTGAGTGCCCGGTTTAATGATGTGTGGGGCTGGGGTGCGCGCAGCAACCGGAGCCGTGTCCACATGGAAGCAATGCCTGCTCCTCAACCAGATCCTGCTCAACTGGGGAAGACATCATTAAGATTTAATTGGGAAGGTGTTGGATACATCATCCCTTGGGTGTCCATGCAGCACCTTGCTCTTCTGCTCTGACCTCCTTCCTCACTGGAGAGAGACATGAGGTGGGAGAAGCAAACCCAAGGGGAGCGGAGCATCCTCCAGCTGTGCCGGTGCCTCCTTGGTGCTGGTTTTCCCTGAGCAGAACCCAAAAGCAGGGAGCCTAAAGGCTGAGTTTCTGTTCCCTTTTGCCCTCCTGGCTGCTCGCTGTGGCCGTGCTGCTGCCCCGTGGTCCCAGGAAGCCAGGGCATGGCTGGGAGGTGAGGCAGCACTTGGGGGTAAATGAGAACTGAGAGGGGCAAGGCAAGGGGAGGTGGAGCCAAGCTGTTGTTTCCAGCACTTGTGAAGGATTTTCTTGTTGTATTCTCTGGAGGATGAAGTACAGCCTGTGAACTTGTGTGTGTGCCTGCCCAAGGCCCTGCTCTGGTCATGGTTTGAAGGATGCTTGCTCCTTTGCTCTTTCCAGCAGAGGGGCTCTCCTGGGCAGGTACACGGATGCCCAGGGACACTCATCCCCTCTCCTAAAGCACATGAGGGGCAGGATCAGTTTAACCCCAGCTCTGCAGGGCCGTGTAGTGCTACCTCAGACTGTTCCTGATGTGGAAAAGGGCTTGCAGGAGGTGGAGCTTTACTGCTGCTTAACCCAACCGGTGGCGTGGGGCAGGAAGAGGAGCACCTGGGCAATCCCTGGAACCAAAGGGACTTTGGGGGCTTTGAAGGCAGACAGGTCCCTGCTCTTCCTTGGCCTCTCTTCATGTGGGGTGCGGAGGGAGAGGGGGCAGGCATTAACCCTGTGTTTGGGATCCTTCTTGATGGGGGTGGAAGGAGAGCACGATGCTGTCAGCTGGGGCTCGCTGCCTGCTTGGTTTTCCCCCATCTAAGCTGATAGATATAAAGGTGGGTCCACTTCTTGCCGGTGGGACTGCTGATATAAGCACTATAAACACTCTTTTCTCCTCTGTCCCTGTCCCCGTAGGTGCTCCCGACCCCACTGCTGGGGCCAGCATCGACGACGAGAACTGCTGGCACTTGGACGAGGAGCAGGTCCGAGAGCAGGTGAAGCTGTTCCTATCTCAGGGAGGGTACTACGGCTCGGGGAAGCAGCTCAACTCCATGTTTGCCAAGGTGAGGAGGAGCCGTCCGCCCCGTCCCCCGTCTGCTCCGCGGGTCACGTCGCCGGCAGCGCAGCGGCTGCCCTGGCAGGACGCCCGTCACAGCTGGGAATCTCTGCTCCAGTGCCTTCTCGCCCGGAGCCAGCGGCTGTAATCCAGGCTTGGGTCAGGCCTGGGCTGTGTCTCTCACTCTCCTGGCAGGTCCCTTACTCCCACGCAATGGGTTTGCCGTGATCCCTGTGTGAGGGAGGGTTTTCCCCCATCTCCCCATCAGCCAACCCTATAGAGACCATGGAGAGGCGGCACCAGCCTATGGCCTCTTGTCTTTCTTCGCAGAAAGGCCTTGTTTCCTTGTTTTCGTGGCCTTGATCAGGTTTCTGAAGGAAAACCTTCCGGGTTCCTTGGTTAGGTCCTCTGCACAGCCCAGGCTGTGGCTGTTACTCCAACCAGCCCGGTCACAGCCGCTGCATGAGTGTTACAATGCATGGGTATACACTATACATGTATATTTGTATATATTTACAGTCTGGACCCCCAGGCTGAGGGAGCTGTGGGTTGTCAGCCAGGTGACCGTGCCTGAAACCATGGCTTTTCTCCCCAAAAACCTCCTCTCTGTCGTTTCCAGGTGCGGGAGATGCTGCGGATGAGGGACTCCAACGGGGCCAGGATGCTGACGCTGATAACGGAGCAGTTCATGGCCGACCCTCGCCTCTCCCTCTGGAGGCAGCAGGGCACGGGCATAACGGAGAAGTGCCGGCAGCTCTGGGATGAGCTGGGTAAGGGTCCCTGCCTTGCAGAGAGCAGCAGCAGGTTTTGCCTGGGCTGCCAGGCCAGCAGGCATCATCCCAGAGGCTTTTTGGGGCACTTTTTTGGGGGGTAGAGACCCTAAGAGATGCCAAGAGCTTGCTCTGTCTCCTGCTGGGGAAATCCCGATGGGAGAGCTGGATCAGGCCCAAAACGCACAGTTCAACCCCTTAAACCTCTCCTGCCAGGGCATGCAGAGGGGTCCCACACTTGCAGCAGCCTGGGGTGTGTTGTGACGCCCCAAAACCTTTGCAAGGGAGGACACAGCGGCTGGAGAGCCCCAGAACTGGATGTGGGAGCGCTGATGCTGGAGGAACCATGGATCCAAAGGCAGGACCTGGTCCTGTCTGACAGATTTCTGCCAGCTCTGGCGCACGTTTTCAGGGCGAGGGGGGCAGGATGGCCAGCGCAGAGCCTGGCTTTAAGGGAAATGCAGTTCTGGGTAATTCCAGCTAAGCACCTTAGACAGAGGCTCAGCTGGCTGACACCATAATATCATTAGAATAAAACATTTAGATGACGTGGGCCCGGGGAGGTTGGTTGTGTGCTGGAGTTGATCCTGGACATCTGGGATTTTGGGTGAATGGTTTGACTTGGGCCATAGTTTCATGAGTTTGAGCCTCTCTGCAGCGTGCTGGTGGGAGATGCTCGTGGGCTGGGACCACAGGGATGTTGTAGGGCTGGGACCACAGGGATTTTGTAGAGCTGGGACCAACGGGATGCTGTAGAGCTGGAAGAAGGCTGATGGTGATCCAGGGTCTGGAGTACCTGAAATTGGGGTCACAACCCTCATTCCAAGCACCCAACAAATGCAGATGTAGCTGAGACACAAACAGCGCAGACAAGGGCCAGACAGGGCTGTGTGAAGTTCCCTGCTTGGAAATAACCACGCCAGCTCTGGAGAGCTCGTCTGTGCTTGCTCGCCAAGAATGTATTTCCAGGATTTGGGGATGCTGCAGTAGATGGTTGGATACGCAGGGATCCTGGAGACGTGGCCAAGTCCACCAAGCCAGAATTTCCACATGGAAGAAAGCAAACGCGCCGGTGAAACGCGGGTGGGTGGGTGTCTGGACAGGCCTGCACGCAGGAAGCCGCTTGCCCAGAACTGCAGATGATTTGGCCGGACTTCAAACCTGCTCTCCAAGCCGAGAGTCCTCCCTTTATTCCCGTACATGTGAGGTGGGAGCGGTTTCGTGCAGGGACCAGTTTGGGTTTGGTTGGCAGAGTGGGAGGAGGCGACGGCGCGTCCCTGTTGGTAGACAGCAGGGTGCAAGGGGACATCAGGATGGCAAGGGAGACCTTAGGGCCCCCTGCCCGGGCTGGATGGCGGTGGCAGCGGGTGAAATGTGGTGGGAAGGGGACATCAGAGTGGCAAGGGGGACCTTAGGGCCCTGCCCAGGCTGGATGGTGGTGACAGCAGGTCAGATGTGGTGGGAAGGGGACATCAGGGTGGCAGGGGGACATCAGGGCCCTGCCCGGGTTGTGACAGCAGGCAAAACGTGGTGCGAGCCAGCACACATCACAGCGAGCAGCTCTCCTGGCACGGGCACATCACACAGGAGGAATTTGGGCATCTCCATGAAGAGAATCCCCTGCAGAGGACACGGTGATGGTCCAAGAAGCGGCTCTGGGGCAGGATGAGCACGAACTATGCTCAGAGCAGGGGTTATTGCCTGCACCTTACTGAAGCCTCTGGGATTTGGCCCTGGGCAGCGTTTGCTGGAGGAACAGAGCATCCCTCTGAAGGAAGGGTCCAGATATGGAGGGAGCAGAGCTGCAGTGATGGTAACAAACACCAGTGACATGGAGAGGTGTCCCAGAGCATCACTGGGCACGTGAAGGGACGTTTTCCCATGGGCTGCGGATGCCAGAGCTGCCCACCGTTGCCACTGCTGCCAAAAGGAAGCCCCAGCACAGCCCCTGTGCCCCCCTCCCACGTGGAAGAGGAAAACGGGCCTCGCGGACACGCGTTTGATAATTAATCGCTGATATTAGCAAAGACTGCACATCACAGACTCGCGTGGGATTGGGAGAAGATCAGCCCTAAAGAAGATTGTGGATTTGTGCTGGGGAAAAATGTAAAGGATTTTGCGGGATTTCGGAGTTTGAAAAAAAAAAAATAAAGAAAGAAAACGCACAAGGACGTGGTTTGCTCGCGCGCGTGCTGCCAGCTGAGCATCTACTGCCCCGTCTGCTGGGGAGCCAAAGGAAGGACCCGCAGGATGGAGAGCTCTGCGGCGTGGGAGTATTTGCCCTGGCGCATTAGTACTAACGATTAAAGCCTAATTACAAAAAATAGACGAAAAACCAGCTGAAGTGCAGCCTGACCTTAATCTGCCTGGAGACGGGTTTATTTATCTCAGCCACTTGTTTACAGTGGGGAATTGCAGCAGATTAAGCCGGAGAGCGACCCTGTGGGAAACGGGAGAATTTCTTTGATGCTTTGGAAACTTGGGCACGGGATGGGAGCGCCTGCGCTCCCCGGGGCCGGCAGCCCGCGCCGCTGGGCTGGGAAGGCTCCGACCTCCCCCAGTCCCTGCGCCCACCCCCGTCATTAAAAAGCATTTTTGTTTAGAGGCTTAGCTTAATCGTGATCTGCTGCTTTTGTTCCCCGCTTAACCTCCTGCCATTGCAAAGTTCAGATGAAGGTTTCTGCAGCATGTGAACAGCCAGGGAGGCTGACCCGGCGCGGCGTTCCGGCTGGGGACGGGAGTCCCTCGTGCTGTCAGCTGAGGTCCCTTGGCCGCAGGGCTCAGAAAACCCCTCTTTGCCATCTCCCAGACAGCTGCTGTGGCCGAGGCAGGCGCGAATCCCTCTACCCTCCTTGTCCCCACCTCTCCGCCACATCTTCCCTTCTGCAGGACAGCCCAGGGGCACGGCGTTTTGGCAGGCAAAGGATAGCTCAAAGGGCTCCCAAAAATAGGCTGCGAAGTTATGCGGCTTCCCAGGATTGCCTCTTAGCTGAGCTGTAGGAGCCAAAAACCCAGTGGGTGCATCCCATTCCTGGGGGTGGCAGAGCCGGAGCAATCCCAGCATGAAGCACCACACCGACAATCCCCAACAGCCATCACCAAAGGCAGCAGACACCACAGCCTCCTCCACAGCATCCCAGCATGTGAGGAGCTTGGAGGACCTGGAAAGCTGACCCAGTGCAACCCCTGCCAGAGCAGGATCACCAGAGCAGTCACACAGGAACACGGCCAGGGCTTTGGGGGTCTCCACACAAGGACACTCCACAACCTCTCTGGGCAGCCTGGGCCATGCTCCAGAACCCTCACACTCACAAAGTTTCTCCTCATCTTCAGCTTGAACCTCCTGTGCTCCAGCTTGGGACCATTGCCCCTTGTCCTGCCATTGGCCATCCCAGAGCAGAGCCTGGCTCCTTCCTCCTGACACTGCCCTTTCCCAATGGATCCCCAGGAATGAGGGCACCCCTCAGTCTCCTCTGCTCCAATCTCCAAAGCCCCAGCTCCCTCAGCCGCTCCTCAGCAGGAGATGCTCCACTCCCTCCATCACTTTGTGGCCCTGCTGGACTCTTTCAAGCAGTTCCTGTCCTTCTGGAGCTGAGGGCCCAGCACTGGACCCAGTTGGCACTCTCAGCCCTGCAGCAGCCAAAGAGGGGTGATGACACCAGGCAGCGGTGCTGGTGGGAATGGGATGCCCACCAACAGGAGCTGAGCACAGGGTTTTCTGGAGCCAAGACCTGACTTTTTCAAGGAAGCCACATCCATGGAGCCTGGAAATGAGCAGCATGGACCTGCTCTGCGTCTCACACATGCATTAATCGCTGATGGTGCAGCTCAAAAGTCCTGTTCCTCCCTGTCCATCGAACAGCAGTGGGGTTTCGGTGGGGTTTCCTGGGCGCAGCAGAGCTGAGATGTGGATAGAGTTGAGCCAGGTGAGAGCTGCTTTGGGATTTGCTGCTCTCCAGTGCCTGTGCTTGCTTTTCCTGTGCCACAGCGAGTGAGGGAGATGGTTTGGGTGCCTGGAGGAATCCCTTTGCCATTGGTGATGCTGTCCTGCCACTGGCTGCCACTTTGGGATGGGAACTTTGGCTCTGGGAGCGATAGAGAGGTGGGGGAAAGCAGCCAGCAGGATGGGGGGGCAGGAAGGTGCTGCAGGTCTGTGCTGGGCCCATGGAGGAGAGGCAGGGGAGGGGGTTTCTGCAGTGGCCGAGCTGTCCTGTGTGTGTGGCAGGGTCCAACACAGGCCTGGGAGCATCCCCAGGGACACCGCACGTCACCATCCCACCCCATGGGGCAGGCACAGAGGAGGGGACACGCTGCATCCTGGCAGCCTCGCAGGGAAATTTGGGCAGAGACGCAATGAGCTACAGGAGAATTCATGGTTTTTGCACTGACTTGGGCTGCCGCAGCCCCTTCCAGAACAGTGGGGGATGCAGGAGGGTCGGTGAGGCTGGGTTGGCAGCACCAGCCCTGTGTTAGGAAAGGAGGAGCTGGATCCTAGCGATGCCGTGTCCTTGGGCCTGGTGCTGCCTCCTGTGCAGCCCATGGTGTCCTCGGGGCTGTGAGGGTCGACCTTAGGGTGTTGGTGTGGTGTCTGAACGTTGGGCACCTCTGCTCGAGGGTTTTGGAGGGCTCTCGCCTGCAAGATGTGAAGGCAAACTGCAGGTTCCTCTGCAGGCTGGGGCTGCTGGGGATTAAAACAGGAAAAGAAAAAGAAGGGAAGAAAACACACCAAATCTCCTTTTTAAATAGTTGAATGCAAATGGCCTGAAGAACAATGGCACATGAAATAGCGCTCGGAGCGGGCTTTAAAGCGCTTGGAACGTGGGTAGGATCAAAATCAGGTTAGTCTTTGGAGATACAGACTTTGCAGCTTGCCAGGGTGTTTGTGAGCACGCTTTGATGTGTGGTTCAAACGCCAGATTTGTCCTGGCAGACAGAAGCACGCACAAATTCGCGCACAGCCGCGCTCTCCTTCCCTCCTCCTCCCCTCTGTCCCCCGTCTCGTGAGGTTCTCATTTAGCTTCATTACGGAGGAGTTTACTTTAGTTTAAAAGCTGTCTGAATCCCCCTCCTGGGTGCCTGCGTTCTGCTGAAATGAGTTTACCGGCGTCCGCAGAACCTCGCAGCCCAGAGCTGCGTCCCCTGGGCACGGCGGCGGCGCCTCCTGGATTCTTTTGGCTTTGTTTAGGGGCGCTGTGGGTGTGCGTGGTGCTGAACCCGCACTGCAAGCTGGAGGAGAAGTCCTGCTGGCTCCGGCAGCTGCGCAAGTGGGGCGAGATGGACGTGTGTCCCCTGGAAGATGGCAATTACGGTAACGAGCTTCCCAACATCACTAACGCGCTTACGCAGAACTCCGGTCACAGCCAAGGTGAGTGCGGGCAGGGGGGCGGAAATCCGGCCACAGGGGTTGGATACAGGTCCAAATTCACCCCAAAGTGGGGAGACCCCAGTTCCCTTTGGGGTCGTGGGAATACAAAGCCGTTCTCTGGTTTTAGGTGTGCATCCGGTGGCATCTTGAGTGGAGTCACCTGGATTTTGTGCATCGAATTAGAGGTCGTTTTAAAGCAGTTTGACCTGGGGGGAGCTGAGAGCCCTGCGGTCTGTGCAGGTTTGGGGATGGGGAACACTGGGGCTGCTGGAGTCAGAGCAAAGCTGAGCTCAGGAGCGTGGTTCGATGTGGGAGCGAGGAGCTGGAGATGGGACACAGCTCCTTTCCCAGCCCCGTGCCTTGCTCATGGGCTTTAATTCAAGGGGTAGAGAAGTCATTTGCAGTGGTGTCCAACACAGTTCAAGTGCAGGGCACAAATGCAGCAATAATGCAGTGATGGGGTTGTTACTTCGTGCTAAAATTCTTTCTCAACCCCTGACAAAGCATTTCGTCCCTTTAAACTTAAAGCACTTTTGCCCGTAGTAGACATTAATTGGAAGTTACTGCTCTTCCCGCACCTCCTGTTGCTGTTTGCTGTGTTATGTGGGGCCAAAGTGGGATGAGGAGAGGGGGGCGGAAAGGAAACTTCACCCTCTTGGGTGGGATGAGTCCCCCAGCAGCAATTTGGGAGCGTGGCTGTCCTTGCAACCCCACCTTGACACAGCCAGGACCACACAGCCCAGCCGCTCGCTGTGCGCATCCTCAGGGAGCAGCTTCATTTCAACCTGGCCTTGCTCCATGTCTCGGGGCTCCCCCTTGGTGTGCCCAGCCCCACAGAGGATTTGGGGCATTTGGGGCAGGGCACTGGGGCTGGACAGGTCCCTTTTTGTAGCCGTGTGGGGAGTTTCTGCCATGCGGGCCACGGGTGACCCCCTGTCCCCCTGCTCCTGCCCCTCCACGGAGGGCACCGAAGGCATCGCAGGCCATGGAGGTGTCCCAGGGTTCATGTTTGCATGGAAACCCTGCTGCAGGTTGTTGCCAGCCTCTCTTATTCCTGAAGGAGAACAGCTGATTCCTGCAGCCCTCCCTGCTGAAGGGAGCAGGCTTGGTTCTCCACGTACCTGTTTGATTTCTCCCCACCTCAGGGTGCCTGCAGCGTTCAGGCTAATTGCTTGTTGCCATCGTTTCCGGAGCGTGTTCATCCAGCCTCCCTGCATCAGCTTTCAGCGCTGCCTTTTGGTTTTCCCCCCTCGAATGCATTAAACTCAGCCCATCCTGGGGGCTGCAGGACCTGACGTTCGGCACGGGGTTGTCCCATTTCACAGCCCCTCGGCTGCGTTTGGCTTTCACGATCCGGTATGACTGGAGCCACAGCAGGATTGCTCCAGACAGGCCTTTTCCTCCCGACAAACCACTTGTCTGCTCTGTCTGGATGCCGTGCAATGCTCATCCAGCATTCAATAGCTCCAGAAATGTCAGTGGAGTTGCAGAGCAGCTCTGCAGAGGAGCACAGACGTTTGCTGCAGGGCAGCAGTGGCGTTTCAGATCGGGGCATCTCCTCTCACACAGCCAAGAGGAAGGCGATGGTTGCCCCCATCACCCAGAGGCAGAGCACCCTTGTGTGGTTCCCTTCGCAGCTCTGGGTGCTGCTGATCTGAACCCTCGTGTGAAGCTGGAGCTTTGTGCTGCCAGTCTCCATCAGGGACGGGGTGGGCAGCAGAGGCGTCTAAACCAAATCTGCCCCTGTGCTCAGCATGGGAACGGCTGGGGTGGGACCAGGGCAGGCTTTGCTCCGGTTGTAAAGTCATTGCTGTGCTCGGGGAGGTCGTACCCGGGGACAGGAGCGGGCTGCCCGTGTCCCACCGAGGCACCGATGGGTTTTCTCTCTGCAGACTCGCTGGCCAGGCCCAGACGCACCGTGTTCACCCGGGCCATCGAGGGCTGTGACCTCCACTGGCAGGACAGCCACCTGCAGCGCATCATCAGCAGCGACTTCTACGCGTCCCCCTCCTACCAGCGCGAGGGCGAGAGCCTCCTCTTCAACTCCCAGGGGCAGCCGCTGTGGCTGGGGGGGCACCCCAAACGGGAAAAGGCGCAGCCGGGGCCGGGGCGGGCAGGGCTGGTGGTGGGGAAGAGCCACCCAAGGCATCCCAGAGGCTTTGCTGCTGCGCTGGGACCTTGCACCCTCCTGCATCCCAAAAGTGCCTCCTTTTGCCCTTTGATGCCTTCCCACACCCCAGCCACATTCCTTAGAGCAAACCTCACGTGTTAAATGTGTGGGCTCCCCTTGGGCAGCTTGGACCAGGTCGTGTCCTCCTGCAGGGCTTGGCTGTCCCCAGTCTGAGCTCTCGCTGTTCCCAGTACAAGGGGACACTTAAAGTCCCTTTAAAGCTGGCTGGGGAGCACAGCTACATCTTTTCTTCTTTACTCTCACCCTCTCTTCCCTTCAAGGCAATTAGCAGACAGTACAATTAAGCCTTGGGTGAAGTTAAGGCACACTGGACCAGTCAAACCCAGTACACTGTGGACCTTTCATCCATGTCCCTCAAGCCACACAACTTCCCTACTGCACAGCCAGGGCCCTTGGCAACTCCACGTCTGGGTGGAGAGCCTGGGGGTGCCTGGGGTGGCTGTGAGCCCTCAGACTGGCCCCAAAATGGGATACACAAGCTCCCCATACCTCCAGGAGGGCAATGCCTCATCCCCACAGCCAAAGAGGTGAATGTATGGACATAGCAAAGGCCAAAGCCCAGCGTCGTTCACGCCAGGGTTTGGGGTCTGCCAGCCAAAGGGGAAGAGGATGTTTAGGGTCAGCAGAGCTGTGGGTTGTGGAGCAGCAGGTACCGAGCTGCTGAGGCCAGGACGTGGTGGTGGCCACGGCTCCCCTGTCCCTGGCATCACCTGGGCTCTGGTTGAGCCCTTGGGCCCAGCTGGTTGGTGCGTGGTATCTTTGGGTTGCGTTTGCTGGGATCTGGGATTTTTGCGCTTCGGTTTTCTTGGCGCCCCTTCAGGGACGCAGAGGAGTGCGATTCGTGAGCGGCTTCCCGTGATGAATTCAGCGAGAAGCTGACTATTTCATCCATTTAGCAAGGGAATAGCGGGCGGAACAAGAAGCTCTTTTACAGATGCATTTGTTCTGAGGCCTCTTCGTTGTGTGTTCCTCATGGGTGACCTCTGGGACATGGGAACCCCATTTGTGGAGGCGGCCGTCTGCTTTTCTCTTCCCAAGCTTTCTGAGCTCTTCCAGGAATAGAAATTATCCCTGTACCATGATCTTAGATCTTCCTTGTTTGCCTTCCCTCTCCCTGCCCCCTCTTGGTAGGGCATTTTGCAAGGAAAACGGGATTTTGGCTGCTTGTTATGCGCCGTGTCGTGTCATCTGCTCCTGCTCATAATCCTCTCCACAGTCGCTTGTGGTTTCAGGTGAGCAGCAGGAGCAGATGAATTCCTAAGCAACTGCGAGCCTTGGGTGGTGGTGGGGGGGTTCATGCAGCTGTTCCTAATTGTAAAGCAGCAGGTAGGAGAGCTGCAGAAGAGCCGGGGTGTCCGCAGAGCTCGCTCCATGGAGGCATTAAGGACACAGTTCAAAACGTCACCCCAGATCTGCCCGTGCCCCTGGCGCGGCGCTGGATGCACGGCCTCGGCCCATGGATGTGAGGAGAGCGGGGAGAGCTGGTGGAGGAGATGCTGGGAAGCGTTTGGGTGCAGAGCAATGAGAGAAATCACCATAAAGTACATGGGGTTTAGGAGAGATGAGGGGCAGGGTTGCAGCAGGTTGTGTTTGGAGCTGTCGTACTGCAGCAATAGTGGTTGGAAATGCTTCCTTAGATAAGAGTTGTGGAGATGGGGATTTAGGTACTGATGTGGCTGCCATGATGGGAGTTCCTTTAGTGGGCATCCCTGGCAGGAGCAGGGAGACGGGGATGGATTCAAGACAGGGAGCAGGAGTGGGGAATATTGGTAGAAAAACCACCCCGAAGGCTGGTGCTGTTGGGTTCTGTCCCTGCAGCAGCACCAGGCCATGAATTCCTGTGCTGCTCTGGCTCTCCCTGCTGAGGAGCGGCTGAGGGAGCTGGGGCTCTGGAGCTTGGAGCAGAGGAGACTGAGGGGTGCCCTCATTCCTGGGGATCCATTGGGAAAGGGCAGTGTCAGGAGGAAGGAGCCAGGCTCTGCTCTGGGATGGCCAATGCCAGGACAAGGGGCAATGGTCCCAAGCTGGAGCACAGGAGGTTCAAGCTGCAGATGAGGAGAAACTTTGTGAGTGTGAGGGTTCTGGAGCATGGCCCAGGCTGCCCAGAGAGGTTGTGGAGTGTCCTTGTGTGGAGACACCCAAAGCCCTGGCCGTGTTCCTGTGTGACTGCTCTGGTGATCCTGCTGTGGCAGGGTTTGCACTGGATCAGCTTTGCAGGGCCCTTCAACTCCTCACATCCTGGGATTCAGCTGTGCCCTGTGTCCATCCTTGCCTTGCAGAACACGTCCCCACAGCCTGTGCTCGGGTGGACGCGCTGCGCTCCCACGGCTACCCCAGAGAAGCTCTCCGGCTCACCGTCGCCATCATCAACACCCTGCGGCTGCAGCAGCAGAGGCAGGTGGAAATCTATAAGCACCAGAAGAAAGGTGAGCAGAGCTGTGGGAAAAGCATCCCATGAGGTCTAGCTGGGGTGTCCCAGCTGGTTGAGGAAGTCTTCTCTATCTTGGAAAGCAGCACTTCCCCATCCAGAGAGCAGAGGGTGAGGGTGTGCAGCACCACGTGGGGTTACTCACACCCCAGCGAGACAAACTGATGCATGTGATTGCTGGAGCCAAACTGCTCTGGTACCCACAGCAGCACAGAGAGGCACCCCCGTGCTGTCCTGGGGCTGCTGGAGCAGGGCTGTCCTTGTCCCCGCTGTCACCGTGTCTTGGCTGTAAGGACTGCACAGACGGCAGCGGGCGATGCCTGCATTAAAGAGCAGATTCTCTGCAGCGCCGCAGTAACCGGCTGCGGGTGCTGCCTCCACCTTGCACTTGCAGAGGGAATCGTACCAGGAGATGGGACCAGGGTTTCTCAGTTGGCAGAGAGCTGGGCTTGGTTGCTGCAGTGGTGACTGCTGGGCCTTGTCAGCTCAGCCAGCTTGAGATCACCAAAAGATGGAGCTTTTAATACTCACAGGGAGCCTTCATCATCAACAGAGAGATTTCTGCCTGTGTTTCCAGAACATTCAGGCTACCATTGCCAATGAGTGTCTGACTTTACAGTCCCCATCCTGGGGCTCTGCAGCCCCTCGTGTCCTCCAGGCACTGAGAATGAGCGGCTGCATCTCATGTGGCCTTAGGGACACATTTTGTTGGATGTCTGTGACCGTGTGTGTGGGGGCTCCTCTCAGCTGCTCCTTGCCTTTGCAAGCTGCCATGCCCAGGTTGGCCCTGGAGGTCCCCTTGTCCCTGGCCTATGGGGTAAGAAAAGGCCTCTGGCCTCAGAGACCTCTCTGGGTGCAGAATTCATCTTTAAAATTCCTCACCTCTAATATCTTCCTGTTCTGGTGGTTTCTGCAGAGCTGCTGCAGCGAGGAGCAACTACCATCACCAACCTGGAGGGCTGGGTGGGCCACCCTCTGAACCCCATCGGCTGCCTCTTCCTCACCCTGACCGAAGCATGCAGACTAGAAGAGGAAAACTGCCTTGAAATCTCAGGTACCGAGGACTCCTCCTGGCTCCTTTCTCAGGAGGGAAGGAGGGTTAAGCCCACACCTCCTGCGTGGGGCTTTTATCTGTCACCTCTGGGTGACTGAGGGCAGGCAGAAAGGGAACCATAGACTCATTGAATCATCGAATAATCCCAGGGTGGAAGGGACCACCAGGACCATCCAGCCCAACCTCTCCAGGTAAAAGCATCGTTTCAATGAGCTGAGGCAGCCCCTGTCAAGCTGACTCTTCAGACTGACCAGTGCAGGGGAATTCACCACTTCCCTGGAGATTGTTCAGTGTCTCATTGATCTCATGGCAAACAAATTTCTCCTGCAGCTCAGTGGGAATCTCTCCAGACACAACTTGTGTCCATTGCCCCTCGTCTTTTCCATGGGACTCCTTGTTCAAGGGAGTCTCCATCCTCTTGGTGCCACCCTTGATGTGCTGGTCCATGGTGATAAGGTCCCCCCTGAGCCTTCTCTTCTCTTGCCAAGGCTGAACAGGCCCAGTTTTCTCAGCTCTTCCAGTGCTCTGAGCATCCTCGTGGTCCTTCTCTGGACCCTTCCAAGCTGTCTGCATCTTTTTTTGATAGTGGGGACCAAAACTGGACACAAAAGCACGGGTCTGGCTTCAGAAGTGGAGAGGTTTTCCTCTCTGCCATGGTTCTGTCTCCTCAGAAGTCTCTTCTAACCCCGCTGCTTCTCTCCCCTTCCTCCAGACGCCGGGGACTCCAAACCCCCTGTGTATCAACACGTCCCCGTCGTGACCGGCAGCCAGGACGGCGGCGAATCCTACCTGTCCCTGGCCTTAGAGGTGGCCCTGATGGGCATGGGCCAGCAGAGGGTGATGCCCGAAGGTCTCTATGCCCAGGACAAGGTGTGCCGCAACGAGGAGCAGATCATCGCCCGGCTGCAGGACCTGGAGCTGGACCCGGTGCTGGTGCAGACCCTGCGGAAGCAGTGCATCCTGCTGCTGGAAGGTGGGGGCTCGGTCGGTCCTGCTGAGGTTGGGAGCATCTCCAGGGGGCCCTTTCCAAGGTTTATTGCCTGATTGACCCTGTCCTGGCTCCTTCCTCTGTGTTTGTGGTGCTGGGTCTGTGGGATGGCTGCTCTGCCTCACTGGCAAAGCAAGGTTTGCTGGTGTCCCTGGAGTGAGAGGTGTTACAGAGAAGGGTGGTAAGCACATGGGACTGACATGAAAGGGCTTTTAGCAAATGGAAAAGCAGCCCTTTGCCCTGGATCCACCTTGAGTAATGCACTGGGGAGCTGCTGAGCAGACCCCCAAAGCTTTGGGGTGGTGCAAACCCCCGCCGTGGATCCTGCTGTGCTAATTATGGCTGACGAGCTCTGCTTCCATCCAGGTGGCCCCTTCAGCGGCTTAGGAGAAGTCATCCACCGCGAGAGCGTCCCCATGCACACCTTTGCCAAATACCTGTTCTCCGCCCTGCTGCCCCACGACGCAGACCTGGCGTACAAGCTGGCTTTGCGGGCCATGAGGTTGGTGTGTGCTTTACTCCCTCTCTGCCCCCCAGTTTTGCCCTGCAGGGAAGCCAGGATGCTCTAAAACCCTGGAGCAGGGCTGGGAATGGAGGCTGCCTTGGGGTCTGCCCTTCCTGGGATCATCCTGTGCACCGTTCACCAAGCAAAGAGACTCCTGCTCTCTGTTTGCTGGTTTTCAAGCCTCATCCGTAGGGATTTGGATGGGGCTGGTAGTGTCTGCTGGTCCAGTCCTGTGCCGCAAGCTGCCCCCTCTCCTTTCCCAATGCGTGATGCCCCTCAGGCATCAGCCCCTGGCCTGTGGTTTTTTGGCAGGGGCTTGGGTGGGTCTTGCAAAGGCAGGAATTTCCCAAACGGGTCAATGCTTGAAGGACCAACAACCCCAGAGCATCCCAGTGCCCTCGTCCTCTGACACCATGAAAAGTCCCTGTCCAGAGCATCATCTGCAGCGTTTCCTCAGCCCAAAATGGGCCATGTCCCCCCAGATTGTGAAATCCCCCTGTCCACAGACCTAAAACTGCAGCCAAGGGCTTCTGTGATGTGTGGGGACACCAAGACCTCCAGCCACCAAGCAGGACCAGGACCGATGCCCTGGGGGTGCACGTTGCTCCCTGGCCGTGTCCCCTGCTCCCAGCTGGGACCCTTTGTGTTGAGGTGTCTCTGATCCAGGCTGGGAAGGTTTGGGTTCTGCTGCCCCATGGGTACCCCAAGCCTGCAAACAAGGAGAGCAGAGATGGTTGGATGCTCTCCATGTCCAAGGAGATGCTTCCCCTCGTGCACGTCTCAGCTGGGCACCGAATTAGTGGCACCAGTGCTGTGATGTGGCTGGCGATGTGAGACTCCTGCTCCCCCGCCTCAGGCTTCCTTCACCCCCGGGTTTTCCAGGCTGTTGGCTTTCCCCACACCAGCAGGGAACCTAACCCGGCTGGGGAGGCCCAGGGGAGATGTGCCGCTGCTGCTGATCCCAACCGGGCGTTTTAATAAGAACCAGATGATAGAGCCAGGACAGCTCTGACATGAAAGGAGCGGGGAAGGAGGAGGGATTTTGCTGCCTTTCCCGAGGCTTGTGCTTTTCCTGACGAGTTTATAAATCACTTCACGGATTGTTCTCCTCCTTTCAAGTCGGTCTCGGGTTGATCCCCGTGCCCACATGTGGAGCACGCAGCCCCCACACGTGCAGGGGCGCTTTCAAAGGCCGGATGGGCTCTGATGTCGCCTGCTCCTGTTTCGCCCTTCAGGTTGCCCGTCCTGGAGACCACGGCGCCGTCGGGCGATGTGACTCACCCCCACCACCTGGTGTCGGTGGTCCCCAGCCGATACCCGCGCTGGTTCACCCTGGGGCACCTGGAGTCGCAGCAGTGCGAGCTGGCCTCCACCATGCTCACGGCAGCCAAAGGTTGGTGGGACGGCAGCGCCGGGACGGGGCCGATGAGGGGATGCTGCATGAGAGCTGCGAGGGGATTTTGCTGGAGAGAAGAGGGAGCTCCTGGTACTGCTCCCTCAAGTGCTGGCAGAGCCCTGCTGGGTGTCCCACTGGTGGCCTGCTGCAGGCAGGGCATGGTGAGCTGGGCTCAGAGCAGCCTGATGGAGTCTGGGGTCTGCAGGGCCCTTGTCCCAGAAGTTCCCAGGGCTTGTGGTCCAGTGTGGTGGGACAGGAGGTTCCCAGGAGGTGCAGGCACCCTCGCAGGGATGGCAACCACAGGGCTGTGGATGATGGGCAGTGGGTGATACTGGACCATGGGCAGCAACCCCGGGTGATGCTGGACCCTGGGCAGCACCTCAGGTGATGCTGGACCATGAGTGGCAACCCCAAGTGATGCCTGACCATGGGCAGCACCCCTGAGTGATGCTGGACCATGGGTGGCAGCCCCAGGTGATGCTGGACCATGGGTGGCAGCCCCGGGTGATGCTGGGGTTCCTTATCCACCAGGACCCCCAGCTCCCTTTCCACAGGGGCTGCTCTCTCTAATACTGAGTGTGGCTCTCAGTATTGATCAATACGGGATCAATTTTGCCAGCTGGAGCCCAGTCCCAGCTGCACTCTTGGATGATGCATTCCCAGATGCAAGCCCTTGCATTTGTCCTTGTTGAACTTCATAAGGTTCCTCACAGCCCACTCGTCCAGGAGGGTGGCTCTCCCTTCTGGAGTGTCACCTACCCCCCTCCTTTTGGTGTCATCAGGTAAATGAGCCACCAGGAAGCTCCAGCCCTGCTGCCTCAGCAGCCCCTTCTCTCCTCCATACCCTCCTCCTCTTCATGGCTTTTCCAAGGCCGATGCTGCCCTGCCTTGCCCTGCAGTGCCCTGATGGAGAGCTTGGCTTACCCTTCATTCCTCCTCCCTTCCAACCCCATAGCAGAAGAGGTTTCTGTGCCGGGGATGGATGCAGGATGACGTCTGTGCTTCCCACCATCCCTTCCCCGGTGTCCCCATGCGATCCTGTGTCCTCGCCACCTCTCTCGCCCGCGCCCCCGCGAGCTGTTTTAGGAAGGCTTGGATTTTGGTGGCGGTACGAGCGGCTGCTGTGGGCGGCGGGCGGTATCTTTAGCTATTAGTCATCCGAGATGTCTGCGCTTGGTTCTGTTCGCAGGAGGTTCGCCTGCTGGGTTTATGGGAGTAGAAACACGAGCCTGGAGCAAAGCAAGGGGACCCGATGTGGCACATCGGCATCCCTGTTCTGCACCCACACCAAAGTCCCTCTGCCCACCCTGCATCCCACAGGGGCTGACAGGAGGTGCCAGGGGTTTCCCAAGCCAAATGTAGGATCATATCAATACTCCCTGATGGGTCTCTCTTCCAAGACTGCCCCATCTCCTGGTGCCATCGTGCGTCCTTTTAGCGCCTGTGGCAGGAGTCCCATGGCATCACCAAGTGTTGTGCCCCTTCTCTGGGGGTATCTCAGCCCGTCGTGGTCATCAGGGCTGCGTTCCTGACCCAGAGCACCCAGGACTGAGCCTCTGCAGCAGGTTCAGGTGATCCAGGCTTGGCCTCTGCTCACACTGCGATGGGAAGGGACTTACTGGGCCTGACAAACAGCAGCAAACAGCTTTTCTTCTTCTTTTTAATGTTCCTAAATGGAGACTGAGCTTTCTGTAGACATTCAGCACTGGTCGTGTCCCCAGACCCTTCCCTTGTTGGGAAAAGGCTGCTTTAAAACTGGGTAGGACACCCAGGTACCTGGAGACGTCTGCAAATGCTGCAGGCTGTGTCTGAGGTCACTCAGGGATGCTCTTCCTGGGAGAGGATGGTTCAGAGCAAGGATGGGTGCTGTAGGACGTGTCACCTCTGGAGAGGATGGTTCAGAGCAAGGATGGGTGCTGTAGGACGTGTCACCTGTGGGGAGGGTGGTTCAGAGCAAGGATGGGTGCTGTAGGACGTGTCACCTCTGGGGAGGATGGTTCAGAGCAAGGATGGGTGCTGTAGGACGTGTCACCTCTGGAGAGGGTGGTTCAGAGCAAGGATGGGTGCTGTAGGACGTGTCACCTGTGGGGAGGATGGTTCAGAGCAAGGATCTGTGTCTGAGGTCACTCAGGGATGCTCTTCCTGGGAGAGGATGGTTCAGAGCAAGGATGGGTGCTGTAGGACGTGTCACCTCTGGAGAGGATGGTTCAGAGCAAGGATGGGTGCTGTAGGACGTGTCACCTGTGGGGAGGATGGTTCAGAGCAAGGATGGGTGCTGTAGGACGTGTCACCTCTGGGGAGGATGGTTCAGAGCAAGGATGGGTGCTGTAGGACGTGTCACCTCTGGAGAGGGTGGTTCAGAGCAAGGATGGGTGCTGTAGGACGTGTCACCTGTGGGGAGGATGCCCCATTTTGCTGTTGGACTGCAGGGTGTGATGCAGCATCCCTGTGCATCCCTCCATGTGTATGACCGTGCTGAAGGAGCCCTTCACCACCCGCTGCAGGCAGCAGATGGGGCTTGGGGACAAGGGGGACACACCAAGCCGTCTGACCCCCCTTTCCCGCGCCCAGGGGACATGCTGCGCCTGCGCACGGTGCTGGAGGCCATCCAGAAGAACATCCACTCCTCCTCCTTGATCTTCAAGCTGGCCCAGGACGCCTTCAAGATCGCCACGCCGGCCGACAGCAACTCGGACACCACGCTGCTCAACGTGGCGCTGGAGCTGGGGCTGCAGGTACGGGATGGTGTGGGGGGATGCTGGTGGCCCTTCTGCCCCCGGTGCTGTGGTGTGACGGCCTTCCACCAAGCAGACGTCCCCTGTGAAGGAGTAAATTCAGCCCTGCACGGCCCTGAGCACCAGAACTCAGTCCCAGGAGGCTGCTGTGCCCGCTGAGGTTTGGGTGGTGGCGAGATGGCACCATGGAGCCTCATGGGGAGTTGGTAGCCAGGGGGGTTTTTGGGGAGGTCCGTGGTGTTTGGGGGCAGCCAGTCACCCCGGGTTTGCCTCGCAGGTGATGCGCATGACCCTGTCCACCCTCAACTGGCGGCGACGGGAAATGGTGAGGTGGCTGGTGACGTGCGCTACCGAAGTGGGTGAGTGCCCGCGTCCGGTGGGAGCGGGGTGGGCACGGACACCCCAGGGCGTCTGAGCTCTCCTGGGTAACTGGGTGCACCTCGGAGCACCAGCTGGGGCCACTGTGGTGGCTGGGTTTGGGACTGGGATGGGTCTCCTGCCCCCCTGGGCCAGGCCGGTGGTGTTCACCATGGCCAAGGAGGGTGGCCTGTGCCTGTCCCCTCTTCCCTGTCCCCTCTGCCCTGTCCCCTTTCCCTGTCCCCTCTCCCCTGTCCCCTTTCCCTGTCCCCTCTGCCCTGTCCCCTCTCCCTGTCCCCTCTGCCCTGTCCCCTTTGCCCTGTTGCCTTTCCCTGTCCCCTCTGCCCTGTCCCTGCAGCTCAGCACTGCCATGGTCCAGCTTTTCCCTGGCTCTGGGCACCCAGGGACTCAGAGGAGC